ACCCGCGGCCAGGGCCAGCCGCCTCCTGCCTCCCGCGACATAGGAAGACAACAGGCTGAGGCTAAATACCTGCTTAGAGTAGGTCGGTATTTGATTTGAATTTGATAAAGGCATGTCAGGTTCATCGTCTAAAATCAGACGTTCACCCATAAAATTAAAAGAACCATATTTTAATCCAAAACTTTACACGAAATATGATTTACCATGTCAATTTTCTTCTACGATGAAGTAAAAATATGAATGTCAATGGATGAATAAACTTAAAATATTGCTCAGTTGCTTAATTTTAACAGCATCACGCTCCATCTTCCATTTTACCTACATTTTCTCTACGCTTGACATACTTTGCCATGTAGGATAGGATCTACAGTTTGTACCTCTTCCAGGATGTCTCAATGATCATCACGTTAACGGTCACAAGTGAGAGTTACAGCTAAGCATATAAACTTTTCAGAGTTAAAATTATATACAATATTTTCAGAAAAAAAAAAAGTAGGAAGATACTGACTTAACATTAAGTTTCCCAGTTCAGGCTTTCCGTGGGGCTGAGCTGGGCGCTGCTGCCTGCGTCAGCTCTGCGCCAGAAAGGAAGAGCTCTGCAGGGGCGCTGCTCCCACGCCTGGGCAGGAGCTCGGCAGCACAGGAACAGTACAGCCTTGGTTCAGGCCCCCTTCTACATAAAAGCTCGTAATACATAGTTTATTCTTCTTTATTGGGTCATTGCTACATTTGCGATGGAAGTGAGCTCTTGGGCTAAAACAGCCAGGAAGTGATTCTTCACTTACTTTCATCAACTACATTAAGTGTTCTAACATTTGTATAAATTTCACTCTAAAGAGTTGCGTGGCCACATTCTGAGTCTCTTTAGAGAGGAAGCACTTCCAGAAAGGTTACATTTTCAAACTCTTAAAAATGTGCTTTCATGACACGTGTTAGTCGATATCAAATGTCATATGTTGGTTACATACGGTATATAAAATTAAACGCCATTTTTCCTTACTCAGAGAAAAGACAGATTTTTTTCAAGCTGGAGAACAATTGCCTTTAAAGATGGATCTTCTGCCCAGTTAACTCTGCTTCCAATTATGATATTCTGCAAAAAGAAAGATTATTAGTTAAAAAACAAATGCCTTTAAAAAGAAATATTCTTACTGAAATCTCTCAGAGGCCATCTATTTTGTAATCTCTATATTAGAAGCCCCGGAAATTCATAGCAGTGTTTCAAATGGGCAGGAGGGTGACAGAGAGGAGAAGGGGAAGCATTACTTTAGATCCTATTGTCAACATATAGGCAAAAAAAAAAAGAAGCTAGTTTGAACTTCTGAACCACCTCGTAGTGCTAGCACAACATCCCCATTCAAAACATAGGTGTTGAGAATATATATATATATATTTAAACACAAGTCAACAGTTTCTAACATCCTCACCCTGCCATTCTAGACTGAAAATGGAAATTAATAAATTTAAGCAAAGACGATTTGTTCTACTTCTTATGGCTCAGAAGATTTCAGAAAGATAAAAATAGAAGATAATTCCAGAAATCTAATCCAAAATCCACTGAAATGTTTAATTTCTCATTCTCATCGTGAGATGTAACATAATTTTCCATTGCAAACTCCTAGTAGGTACAGCATGCAACACAGAAACATGTGGCTCTTTTTCCATCCTTTAAATTTCTTCGGATCATACAAATTTACAGAATGGCTATATCCGGTCTCCTACCCAAAGCTCTCAAATAAGCTCCATCTTTCCCCAGTCTGTATTTTGCTTAATAAGCCATGTGTGTTCTTAACTGGGATTTCATAAGCCATTTGTGGACAAACTTGCAAGCACTGCAACTGCAATTCGCTCTGCTTCCCATCTTCATACTTACTAAGTCACTGATCTGTAGGGTCAGGTGAAGGAAGCTAGGACAGGTCATATGGTGAGAAGCAAATACCAAACTGCAGTGCAGGGAATATGAACTTTAATAGGACCCCTCCGAGCACAGGATGCTGCAGACCCTTCCTCCACTCCTCCCCATCCCAAATCATGACATTTTCTTCCTCACTTTGCGTGACCACAAACACCAGATGACCTGCCAGCCAGCTGCATGGATATAGACTAGTTAGCAGCATCTGATACATGGGTAACCAGGGGGATGAAGACTACACCGTTCAAAGTATTTGAAGTTCAGCCTTGGCTGGCAGGCCAAGGCCTTCACAGTGCTGCAGTGTGTAACACTGAACCAGAGAAGTGCCTGTGGTCAGAAGGAGCAAATTCAGAAGGGGCAGCCTGGCACGTTGGCATCGTGGGATTAAGACATGCTCAGGAAAAACAGCAAGAGACTGGGAAACTGGTTTGGGGGGGATGAAGGGGTGACTCTCAGATTAAGGAAATACAGCCACTTCTGCAACAGTAATTGTCCTAGGAGATACAACATTTTTGTATCTTAGATGGATGACAGAAAGAGATAAAGAGAGATCGATAGGCCATTTCTAAATTCTATACATAATTTTCCAAACAACAATTTGGGACAATTTCATATTTTCAGTCTTTAAAACAATAAAATTATCTCTGCGCGCAGTAGTTTTTTCATTACCATCTTGCTTAAAGTTTTTGAAAGCACACAGTATATCTTAATCTTGTTTGAAGTTACATTTACTATACAGTAGGTTAGATTGATTGTGATGCAAAACTGCAAACTTGCTTCTGAAAGTTATGACTTTTTACCTGGAATATATTTTGAATTAAGGTAGTCATCTCTTTTTCTTTTTGTAAGTTGTTACGTATCTTCTCCAGCATTTCACCCACTTCCATACTTGCTAGTTCCTTCTTTTGTTTTTTCATTGTGGTATGAATTTGCAGTAGTTTGTTTCCTCCAGCTTGTTTTAGTACTATTCCATTATTAGGAAAATGAAGCATTAACAAGTCGTTCTGTGTGCAGTGGAACTGAAGAAACACTGTTTTCCACAGACATCTTAGGCACTTCCATTGCAATAATCCAAACTTCTCACCTCATCCCTTCCCTGCAATGTACCTCAACATATCCCTTCCACACAAAAATCAACATGTGCTGTGGCTACCTGGTGTCAATATATACGAACTAGTTCCCTGGCTGCTGGCAAAACAAGGTACTGTGTGTACTGCCTGTATTTCCATCAGACAGGGACACTAATTTGAATATCTGTCCTACACTCTGTCTCCAGTTGTCACAACTTCTACAGTTGAAAAAGTTTAAGTTCTTTTTCCTCTTTTTCAAATTTGATCCAAACCAAGGTCCAAAGTCATGCAAGGGACATGGACAACGTCAGTGATTATTTCCAGTTTTCTTAGGAAATCAGACTCAAAACTACATGGGGTAAAAGCATTAAGGGACAATTCATACACTGGAAAAAATGCTGCCCCTCATGACTTAGCATTCCTTCCTTTATTTCTGAAGATATTAGGGTGCTCATTTTTTCTTTGAAGACAGATATTTGACTTATTGGTTTATTTACTTGCAACATGTACATCACTTTCTATGGATGAAACAAACACAAATTAATAGTGGTTAAAATTGCTGGCAAGTCTAATAATACCACAGTGGGAAGTTCTGAATAGCAAATCTAAATACATGTAAATTTGAGTCCTGACCTACTCTAACCGGCATACTGAACACCAAGATATACATTATCATGTTAGTTCTTTGCAGGTTAAGTGGCCTCCCATTTTACAAACATTTCACAAAGGTGCAATCTGACAAAAAGTCCTTGTTGTAGGACTGATTTACTATGAATACACTCTAAAAAAGCCTAAGTGAGGTGTAGTAAACTGGGGAGTTTACACTCCATTCTTTTTAAGTATCTTCTTGCATCTCTGTTCTAACACATCAGTCCCTGCTGCCATGTACACAACATGCCAGCTCTTTTCTTACATACTTCATAATCCTCTTTTCAGTAGTTTTATAACTGTATTCAGTTTCATAGTGATTTTATGTTAATTAATAGTGCTAAAAGAAACACTTTCTAAATTACAAACTATATCTTCAGATATAAAACAAAGTAAGTTTAACACACTTACAGAGTCTTTTCCTTTTAATGTCATTCAATTTCTCTTCCATCTCACGTGCTTGCTGAAGGAAAAAAAAAAAGTTTCTGTCTCCAATTAATACTGATAGATGTTAATTTATTCCACAAAAGTAGTTAAGGAGAGCTCTAGAAGCAGACTTTTTGCATATCACTTTAAGGAATCATTTCAGTAATTTTAACACCAGCAGCAACTGCGTGCTTTGGGCCACATATTTACCTTCAAATGACTTTTACATTCCTGTTATTTTCAAATTGCACCCTGGCCGTACTGTAGAAAGCAGACCTGTGCAACTGCAAAAGTGGGTCCAACTGACACTTACCTGCTGAGATTCAAGTATGGCTGTGCTGAGCATTATTATGTGTTTCATAGTTTCCAAGATCAGTCTAAGGAAGGAAACACAGATTTGCACACCTTAAGACTGTTAATATATACCTTAAAATTGTTAATATATGAAAACAGCACAAATGTTTTAACTGAAGTTATTTACATTATACAAAAAAAAATTCCCCTCTAACACTAAAATAAAGCATATTTTTATTTTTTACTTTTGAAACAACTATGCCATTTCTTTTGCATATTTAGCATACTAAAAATAGCTCTAGAGGCTAAATATTCTCCTTATTTCCATCTCAATGTTTCAGTTAGGTTTGTCTAACATTGCATAGTGAAAGCATAGAGCTTAGGAGACATCAAGGCAGCCGAGCCACCTCAGAACATCTAGTGATTGGAGTTCCTGAATTCTGGCCTGTGACAGAGACATTATGGAGACAGAGTGTTTTTGGCTGTTTCCTACAGAAAGGAAATTTCTCATATTACACTTCGTATGCATTCATCCATTCATATTGGGTAAGATATTAACAGATAATTTCAAACAAGTTTGAAACCTTCAGTTCTTTTTCAAAGACATTAAGCTCCTAAGTGATAAATTAATGAAAGCAGCAAAGCAGAGGCAAGGCCCTGTTACAAGCGTGTAATATGTGCTCACATATTATAAACGCAGATGATTCATGCATTAAAGAAGAAAAGCCCTAACTCCCAACAGTTCTCACTAGCAAACCAAAAACAATCAAAGTCACCTAAACCCAGGTACTATTAGATCCATTGTTCACAAAGTTACTTGCTATTTCCTAGCTATGGAAGAAAAGGTGCTCCACATCCGTTGTTCATACAGCACCCCATATACAGTCAACTTTCAAATATCAAGATGATCACCAGGAATCTAAGGACAGAACCCGAAGGTGGCAAAAATTCATATAACATCAAATATATGTTCTTGCAGCCCAACTTAAATATGAAAGCACTAAGAAGAAAGGAAAAATCAGTTGCGTTCCACAACAAGTGCGGCCAAGATCATGGAGCTAGCGTACAAACAACTACGGTGGTGCTTCTGGAGCTGATGCGGCTTGTGAGAAACAAGCCTAAATGTCTCTGTAATCAAAGGTTGGTTAATTCAGAGCCTAAATGTAAAACCACTCTGGGTATAAGAGATTTGATCACGCTGATTCTAGCCAGAAGGTGGACAGCGTATCACGCAGTCAAAATTAGAAGAGGAAAGTTTGTTTTTAAAACGATACAATGAAATAATGCCATGATGTGTCTCATTCAGCTGTGTCAACTCTTTTCCTTTCTGTGTCAGTTCTTTTCCTTTCGTTTTGGCCATCCTTTCCCCCAAAACACCTTACCGTGAGTCGTCATCATTTTGTTTCATTTTGTTTCTCAGAGCATCCATAAGCTGGATCCTGCACAGTGTGGAGAAAAGAGATAGAGCTGGTGAGAAACTAAGAAAAGTGAATTTAGATAAATATTGAAAGAGAGATTTTCAACATTCCATTTATGCTGACTTTCACATAGGAAATATATATATAAATACCCATCACTTTCAAAATATCACAACGCTTAAATATTGTGGTTTTCTTAACTCTCAGGATAAGAACATATTAATGATTCTTTGTAGGAGTGACAATGCATTTCTCACTTGCCAAACATACATCAGATGTCAATAATCTCAGAGTCTGAGAAGCTGAGGAAAGGTGAGAAGCTGGACAAAGGACAAAGGTGGGAAGCCAAACAAATGGTCACATAACATAGGAGAAATATAACAGCTACCATCTCTACCTTTTCACAGGCATTTTAAAAATATAACCAACAACTACGTTTCGTGATGTGAAAAGGCTGACCGTATACAGTTTTGCAGGACCTTTGGAGCTCAGGCATGTCAGTTTGTGAGCGTTTCTTGTTGTTCTGTACGGTGTCTCCATCTTCATTCCTACTGGTTCAATGGTACTAAAGTCTTTTTATGTTTGTAACACACACTGTAGCATTCTGAAATCCTACTTTAATCAGAATTACATGTACATGCATGATGCACATGTAAACATCATGCAACAATACATGCATGTTATACACATGTAAACAAGCAAACATACCCCCTCTCCCCCAAAATAAACAGGAAAAAAACACCTGCCTTTGTAACACCAATGTTTTGTTTTGGAAAGAGACTTTTACTTCCTCCATTTCTCTTTCCAAATCTTCTGTGGTACTGAAACAAAAACAACAGTGTGAAAGGAACAAGAAAAATTTTAAAGCAACCTCACACTTGTAAATTTGAACTTGCTTTCTCCATGCCTGAGATAAGAATTTTGCCTGTCAGTTACGAATTATTCAATTCAGGAAAATTTTGGCACATGGAATAATGTTAGTTAAGTCTAGTCATTGCTTAGAAGGATTTCAAATTTAGCAAGCACATCAGATGCACAACTATATTAGGGGCTTGAATAAAATATTCCCTCTGCACGTTCTCTTTTCATATCCTCTATTTTCATCAGACTCTTGCAAATTATTGATAGTTAATCCAGAGTTTTCATTAAAAAGGAGTGAAAAGAGAACATCTAGCTCAGTTCCCAACCCTTCTCTTCTCTATTTTAAACTATGTCAAAAGCTTGAAATCATCAGATGACTTACGTCTTGATTAGCTTTTCTTCTATGATATGGTCAGGATAACTTTCTTCACCTGCAAAGCAAGAATATTACTAAAACACAGAAAATTTTAAAATCCAATTTACAGAATATAAAGGATAAGTAGTTTGATCCCTATACTAACAAGGTCTTTCTTATCCCTAGCTCCACACCTCACCATCCCTTTTGCTGTTAGTGGGGCTGCACTGTCAATCAGCTGTACAAGAGAAATAATTAGGCTTTAAAATATTTCTATTTAGCACTTTTCAGAGATCCCAGATCTGGTTCACAGCATTGCTGTGTATGCAGCTGGCTAGTTCAGTGGAGGAGGAGATACATAATGGAAACAGAACAGGAACAAGAATACCTTAATTCAGTATTATTGCCAAACACTTTGTATTGTAAAACCTAAGCCCCAGTTGATCGGATTCCTGAAAACTGTTATCACACGTAATAGTGTGAATAATATAAAGTAAAGTTTTGTCAGCGTTAGAGGGGTCTAAAGCAAAAATCCAAGATGAGAAAGGGCAGAGAATACTTATGTCACAGCTTTGTAAGGGTTCAAACATGTCTATAAGCGCTATCAAGAGCATGCAGTCAGATGCTTAGTCTATGAAAAAAATTAATATTACAGCAAGCGCTTTTGATAAATTAAGAAAATATAATTTTAAACATACAAGCATGCGTCACATCACGTTCCTTACTACTGTAACGCACCACGCTGAGGGAAAGCACACTGGGTTTGCTGCAGGGAGCTAGGGAAAGGGATAGGCTTACTGGCTTGAACTGTGGCGCTACACTCCATGAGCTGCTGCTTCATCTGTTCCCTCAGGCTGCAAGGGAGGGAAAGCGACGACGCTTAAACCCAGAGCGGCAGCCCAGGAGGGCGGCCCCGGCCCCGGCCCCGCA